CAAGCTACTAAAACTGAAGATCTCAAACTCAGACAGTCTTTACAACATCTGCTGACATTTTTTCCACAAACTAATCTAGTTGTGGTGAGTCTATTACAGAATACGACAGCTAAAGGTGGACCCGAGCAACTGACGACAGTATCTGTGAACGTTCATCACTGCTGATGTTCCCACAACCCTATTTGCAATGTTGGTTTTCCACACAAATAAGCCTCAGTTTACCGGAATCTCCTTGTTCCATTTAAACAGGTATCCATGAATTCCGAATTTTCAAGATTGAAAAGTAGCCCTTTGTGTTAAACTTTTTGTAAAATTATTATGGATTATACTTTTAAGCTTTGCTTATCAAAATGCTTCAGTTAGTCTCTCGTTGTCAGTAAGAAGCCTAAGTAATTAAATCAACGATTCTTCAGTGAATGATAGCTATGGAATTGATATAGGGGAAATTTTATTTGGATAGTTCGATAAATTGTTGAGAACGTTTCATAAAACCGTCCATATCCATAAGCATTTTTATTACGGAATAGTACAGTGATCTGGGGAAGTACTGGCATGAGGTGCCTACACTCGATTTCAATTTGTATTTCTGAATTATTGTACCCTTTAATCCCTAAGTCCGCACCACAGGTTAAGTTCGAATATTTGGTGATTTAGACAGACTTCAAACAAATTTTTTCAGTAAGCAAACTCGGAAAAAGGCAGTCCGACTTTAACAGACACGAAGCAGGTGCAAGAAAATCAGCTGATTTAACTCGTGAAAATGATATCAGATATTGGACTTGGCACAAGATGTCGGAGAAATGTTCCTAACATCTCAGAGACCCTCGATTAAACTGTCACCTCCGATCCAAGTCAGGCATGGCAAAGTGTGGCCAGTACGAGCAGCAGCCAGGAAATCAAAAATAATGTAGGAGCATATCTTTATGGTGGTTCACGGGGAGCTCGAATTGGTTAGTGGTAGCTTGGATGAGGCACATGCACATGTTGCGTGGTAATAATAGTGTCTATCACATAGCATTGAATCCACAAGTACTGAAGCACGGAACGACAAACGATGGAAATAGTATTGCAACTTCCAACCCTAACTAAACACTACTAGCAAGTGTGTGACGTCACATAACTCAATAAGGACATAACACCCTCAAACTTGGGTGACTTTTTAACAAATGATCGTTATCTAGTCAAGCATGTCCATGTCCATACACAAAAAGGCAGTAGTGACTATGGTTTTGTCTTGTTTATTATGGCCAAAAACAGAAACCTAAGTAGGGATGATGCAAGCCATACATCTGCTACATTTGAGTAAAATGCACGTGCATGCGAGAGCATATAAAAAACGCCTCTTGTCCACAGGAATGCTGGAATCTAACAGTCAGAGGTGTCATTCAGAAATTCGGTTCAGTTTAATGTGCATGAAGCAAATCAAAGACATACAAAGAAAGATGTATGGCTTCGATAAAGCAGGCTGAAAGTCGAGTCTTGCACAAGCGGAATATCCCTCTGATGGATTAACACCGTACTTCTTGCATTACATTCAGAAACCGTTGCAATGCAAAGGTTTGGAGACAGAAAATATTTCCTGACGAAGCCAACTGCCAAAGTACATCATATCAAAACATATATTTATGTTCGCGAATAAAGGAAACGATAAGAGCAGGAGTTTTGTACTTTAATAGGTCTTCAGAATAAACATGATTCTCTGGTATCGAGTGCAGAAATGAACAATAAAATCAGAGACACGGTTGAAGAACAAACCTCACGAATATAGACCAAAGTACTTAGGACTGTTGTCGCTGAACTACATGAGAGTCAGAAGTGATATGATAATAGTGTTCCACATATTAGGCACGCCAAATCTTCCTAACATGAGTACCTTACCAAAGGATCTCCATCACGCCCCACGAGGTTTTCTTTTAAAAATTTAGCATCAAAATGCGAACGCCAAGGTTCGTGCACACGTTTTTTTGTTACGACTTGTTGCAGCCCCCTCAGTGGATAGCTTCAAGAGGAGGATTGATAAACGCGCACTCACATGTGAATTATCATCTCCCTCATGAACAAGCTGTGCCTGATACATGCCTCAAATCTTGCTAGTTGTCATTATCGCCATTTCCTCAGATCGACAACATAATATGTTTTGCCTAAAATCTCCTTCCTCTCTCCTGCTTACAGTTCTGTCATCTTAGACAATCTTCATTACCAATTAATCAACTAAATTATCTATTGATTTACTTAGTTCTGAAATGTTCCTAATAATAGCAATAGAATTTCCTCATTATCATTCACCACATTGCAAATTAATGATCTGGTAATGTGATAGCTGTGGGTATCCAGAAACCGTACTGCCCTGAAACAAACGAATTCTTTCAAATCATGGGACATACAAGTTCGCAAGCAACTGCAACTGGCTGGAATTGGGCAGTCGATTGACTAGACATACATCTACTGAACACTGCCAAACACCAAAAGAATAAGAATCAAGCGCAAAGAAGTCAATTGGTTTAAACTAGCTAGTTAAAAAAGGGTATTAGGTATTGGATATTGGATGTAGTCATAACAACTTCAGTGAATGTTTTAAAATTTGGAGGGAATTGTATAGATTCTTTTCACCTAACTCTCACTTTTGACCATAAACATGCCCTTATTTAAGACCCCTGTTGTTTTTGAGTTGTCATTTTTACACTAAAAATTAAATCTCAGTTGCTTGTATGCTGTCATTGTATCACCCTCTAGCAATTCCTTTTATGTTTATTTACCAACACTTCTTAAGGCTAACTGATCTGTAATCTAAAAAAACAGATGACACCCTCGATTTAGATAAAGAGCGCTTGAAACTTTAGTCCTTTCTGGAGGTTCCTACTTGGGGTGAATCTTATAGCCTGATCTGAAAGCCATGGTTATTGCAATATCTGTTTAACTAGCTAGTATAAACCAATTGATGTCGTCGCACTCGTGTTTTACTTTGATGCAGTTCTAGGTATCTGGTAATTTCCAACGCGTATTAACTACTATACTGCACTAGTTTTAGTTAGTTGACAGTTTTTATGAATTTGTTTGTCCTGTGATTTAAGTAAACGCATTTCTTCAAAGCAGTAGGGTTGCTGGATATAAGCAGCTATCAGATTAACAGAAAGGATATTCGTCCTTTTCAGGGTGGAGAACAATAAGGAAAGAACGATCATTCTATGGAGAAGACGAATGTTTTCGACACCAGATAGATAATATCATATAATTAATTAGTAGTGCATATAGTAAGAAAGGATTGAGTTGCAGATAATAAAAGAAAACAAGGATGATAACAAGCAAGATAGATTAAGTTGGTGATATGAGGAAATGGTAATGATAACGATAATCAAGTTTCAAGATATGTATCAGGCACAGATAGTTTAAGCGGTAGATCATAATTCATGAATGAGTGCCTGTTTGTCATATCTTCTAAAAGTATCCACGAAGCGGGCTGTGGTCACTTCAGCTAAGAAAGCATTCCGGGTAGGAATACATCTGAGTGAGGAAATCTCAGAGCGTACCAAAGTGTTTGCCCCTTGATGAACTGTTGTACTAGGGTGGTGATGATCTGAAAGGATCCTCGTGTTTGGTTGAATCGTTGTGCTTATGTTGTATGCCACCTCCAGATTACCTCTTATTCTTTCGTAAATAATAGAGAATAATTCCAAGTTTTGGAATATGTCTTCGTAATGTTTTTTCTTTAATCATATCACCCACTTAGTGATTCGTCTCTGCATTCACTTCAAGAGATTTATGTCTTTTAAGGAAAGGACGTAAATCAACATTGTGAATTTGAAAGTCTATCTGCGCATGTTTTACGGGGAGTTTAGAACCCTTCTAGATAGATCTCACCAAGTCTTCGCATAAAGTGAAAAGCTACTTTTATCCTTGCTGCATCCCCTAAGTAGTTTGAACTACGATACTGGCCTTCTGTTGTTGTGAGAACAAGAGACCACTCTGAGGAAACACTTGCGGACGGACGTTCATGGAGAACGCAAGTTGCTTGTGTCAAATGGGTCAGAATATTCAGGAGGCAACAGTTCTCCTACTTGATTTGTAATCAGTTGTCTGTTGCCATTTTCTCCACTGTTGTATAGTCAGTCCTTTCGAGGCTCACATAAATCCTCCTAGCCTCTTATGGACCTCCAACTATATGGATTCGTAACACTAGACTAATTTTACTCAAAAATTCATTGATAAATATCAGGAAGAGAAGTAGACTGAAGATGATCTCTTATGAAACTCTTGATGTTGAGACTCGGAAGCTCGCGTGTAATTTATTTACCTTCGTATAAAACTTCCTGTTCTCTTAGTAGCTTCAGGGCCAAGACAGAAGTTGATCAGTGAAGCCCATCTTCAAAACCCTTTCAATTAAGAGTACAAGAGGTACTTTATCGAAAGCTTTCTCGAAGTCAAGGAATATTATATGAACTGCTATTTTTCGGTCCTAGCAGGTTGTCTAGCTGTCTCATGCTGCAATAAAGCTGAATGTACAAAATCTGCCCCTCACAAACCTGTGTTGTGCTTGAAGAAAGATGATGTTTTTGTCCATGTACTTCCTCATTTGTTCATTCAATAATCCTTCCATTACATTAAACAATATTGGTAGTAATGCTACTGCTCTAAAACTGGCTGGAACTTCACACATTGCCTTTTGATTACAGAGCAGATGTTGTCGTATCCTGATAAATTTCCTGGTCACAGGGACCTGAGTTCTCTCGGTACTAACCGGGAGATTGACTGTAATCTGCAGGTTATGGGAATGCAATTTAATTTTATGCTTCCAAGTTTAAATACTCACACATCTTTCTAATATGTTCCTCGGTTGTTGCCGGTTACCTTTTTAATATATTTCGAAATAATCAAAATAATCTCCAAACGCTTTTATAGATTTTCCTTTCCAGGCATTTCACTGCAAGTTTTAAAAACTAAGGTGTTCATCAGCTAGCGTCAAAACTGCTACTTCGTTGAGGTTACGCAGTAATCTGGTCAATATGACAGTGGGGAAAAAGAACAAACGCGATGATATTTCAGCTGTAGATTCTGTAAGACAAAATAGACTTCTTACCTTTTAATCCAGTTTGACGAGGTAGTAATTGGTCTGCATCAGGCCGAGTCAGCTGTACTGATGCTAAAAAGTCCTGAAGATGATGTTAAAACCCGAACTTGTGAAGCACTGTACAAGTTTGCAAACAAAAGTTGATCACTTTTAATTTGATATGTAACATTTAGGTGATGATAACAAAAAAGCACTGATATCACTAAATACTCTAAATTATCTTCAGCCCTTAATAAGGGATGAAAACAAGGTAGTCAAGAGAAATGCAGTGCTTGTTTATGGCATTTTATCGTCACTTCCTTCGGCAAGATCCATTATTAGAAGCCTCCCAAACATCGTTACTGATCTTCTCAGGCTTTTGGACCCAGAAGGTTTGTTGATTATTTCCTATACTTTGTTTTTTGAACTTATTATTTGCATATAGAATTCGAAACAACAAGAGAGTTCGCTGCAATGACATTGTCGCATTTATGTTCGGAATATGCTGGCATATATGACCTTATAGAACACAAATGCTTTCCTGTTATTATACCTTGTTTAAAATCACCTGACCCAGATGTGCAGAAAAATTCTTTGGACATAATAAATATGTTACTGCAGGTATTATTTGAAATATTTCACTTATTTTCGGAAGGACTTTGAAGCACGCCCAATGCTGAAAGCTGCTGAAGGTCTGGAGACTCTAATTGAGTTGTTGGTATCAGAGTATCCAGTTATTCAAGATTTGGTGCTGAAAATATTTGCTAGAGCAACACAAGACAGTAAGTATATGAATGATCTGTATGGTTGGTACAAAAATGTACCATGTATGCTTGAAACTATCGAAAAATTATTTAAATTTGGAGGAATTTCTTTATTGTAATAGACTCGTTACATCGAACCCACTGATAAGCAACATTATTTCCCTATTTCAGCAGTGACTATAATAAAGAGTCTCTCTGGTCAACAGTGTGTCGCTTCTTTTCAGCATCTTTGTCAGTCGATTTGAGTTAGTAACCCTTGCTTAATCACATCCTCAGAGTTTCTTTTAGCTGTTACATTAAAATATATGGCTCACTGGCTTGCATGTCTTACAACTCTGAATTTTTATTGTCGACCAGACTGTATATTAGCACTCTTAATGAAACTCCATTTAAACTGCTTGTAACAATAACCAGATTTGCTGATGCAGTGAAATGGACCTTGACGTCGTATTTCACAACAAATATCTATGTGAAGATGTTTTTTTAGTTGCGTTGACATTTATTGTAACAGTTACTGTCGATGCTCTCAAGGGCATATCAGTTAATACATGTATCAGCAAGTATTTGGCTGTAATTATGGTAAAATTGGTCAATGTTTTACTACGTTTCGGCCAAACCATTCAAATGGGATTTTAATACGTAGTGTTTACACGGATGCTTAGGATGTTCAGGTCAACCAAGTGTTACAACATTAAGTCATTGTGATGTAATATATACTCCTCAACATTATCGATCTGCGAATAAACCGTAGAGAGGCTCTCGAAAATTTTTCATAACATCATATTTTGTGGAGCGATTGTTAAGAAATACAAGCCTAATAAACAACTATCAGATACTTCACTTTTCTAAGCAGTGATGGATATTGGCTAGCAGTGGAATCTAGGCACGCGTTTCGTTCTGCTTAGGACTCTTCAGCTGGATGTACCTACACCCGGATTAACGTTCACTCCGAGACTCGAACCTAGTAGCGTTCGCCTAAAACGAGTCCAAAATGGGACGCAAAGCACATCTTGGATTTCACTACTAGCTTCTATTCATCTCTCTTTATGATCGTTACGATATAATAGCTATATCAAGGCAATCCTTACCTGGATGCAGATAAGCCAAACGAAGTTGATCAACATTAATCTTAATTACCAATTGGAAGATTCAAACTATCAGTACAAATGAATTACCGTTCACTTTTTCTTATGGTACAGATTTATTTACTGAGTATTGACCACCTATAATCAAGTGCCTCACTGCTTTCGACAACTAGGCAGATAAATATTTATCAAAGGCCTAACTATGGCTTTGACTGAATATTAATTGATCTGTCTATTAGCTGACACTTAGTCTATAGACACTTCCATTCTGTCGACAAGACTTTTCTCTGTGATAAAAGTTTTATCATTTAGTATTGGAGATTCACTTATATCCTCAAATTAAGCAAACAACATAGTTTTATCTAATGATGTTAAAGATATACAATCGTCTGGAAATCTTACGTGGCAACACAATAATGTATACTGTCGACTGCTTCTACAAATTCAAGATGTTTTAGAAATGTTCCTCACTGATCCACAATCTTCCGCTAAGCGTCAGTTTTTCACTTTCATGGTTGTTGTTAATTTCCTCAATATTAAGTAAAGTAAGATCTTATACCTATGACTAATACATATATGATACGCCCTAGGTCGGGTATGATTGACAAACTAAAATTAATCCGAAATTGATGTGACAGGAAAAAAGGCGGTATTACATATTTAACTGCAAGTGATGGTTATTCGTTCGGATACTTGTTTCGTTTTCAGTGTTGTATTCTATTCGGTATGACATTAATTTATTTCAACATGATGATGGAATAAATAAAACAAATATTTACTTCCACGAATATTTTAAATTTATCATTCTTGTGATACATTAAACTCAGTGTTTCACCACATTCACTATTTTACTCATTTAGAGAGTAACTAAAGTGCCTATCATTCAACTGAATCCACAATCATTTTCTACATATGACAAGATTTTCTGCTGTCAGAGGTCGATTTTTGGCAATAAATAATTAAGAAGTTACACCTAAATCGTTCATTTCAGTTAATTTTTAATCTATCAATTACTTTCCTTGTCTGCTTAATAAAAACTTATCTGAAGTAATCAGTAAAGAGTTTTGTGGAAATTATAGAATTTTTACAGCATTCAATTGACCAAATTATCTTAGTTAAACCACGATTGGAAACCTGGAAGCACTAGATTGTTGTTATACACTAGTATGGGACTCCTCAATAGTGCATGTCCACGACCCTAAATCCGAGAATCAAAACCAGAACCTGTACTTTCACACACAAACGTACAACCTCTAAACCACTAAGCCGGCGATAACGGTGTTATTGTCTAACCTCAATCAATCCACGGTATTGCTCAACCCTCATCTATTGCTTCCCGTTGGTAGTTGTTTCACAGCCAACAAGGTTGAACTCTCATCGGCAATTAGACGAATTTCCTCATTTGGACATTCTGAGAAAAATGAATAAAGTGAAGAAATACTTCTTTTCATTTAATTTCTATATGTAAATAATATTAAATTGAAAAGTAACGATAAGATATATCAGTCAAGCGGGTGATATGGTAAATTCTAATTTTACAAATTCAATTCATTTGTGAAAACTATTCCAACTGATTAATTAAAACATTTCGAAGAAGAGGTAAATCAGGTGATAAATATTCAAAGGTATCCATTATTAAATGAACAAATTAGAATTTTTAGTTTAGAGTGTAATAATAATATAATTCATAAAATATTTGATATGTTTAGTATTATTGACAGTTATGTAGTACAGAATTTGGCTACCTCTGAAAATGCATCAGCTTTTCCACCTCATCTCCAAATTGTTATTGATCAGTATTCACAATTAGTTCGACTTGAATTTGTAATATTATTTGACGCGTTAACACTCTATTTTTGTATTCTATTACGATTGTTGAACATTTATCATTATGAATGTAAAGTCATGATGAAACACGAACTAGAAAGAAAGATTTTCTTCGCTCCATTCATTTTATTCAAAACATCGTAGTAAATACAACGACTATAAAGCAAGTATAATTAAAGGTAAAAAATAAAAATCATTTTGTTTCTGAGGTATTTTTACCTTCTGTGCTGATCACTTCAATTCCTTTCTTATCTTTCTACTTGAATATAGATTTGCCTTGATTTATTAAATAAAATTTATCTATTACATAGTTTTATTGACTAACTTACTCTGATGAATTGTTTATTTTATAAACATATATATGTATTATCATTGAATTTATGATGAAATTTTGTTAGAAATACGTAATTAATTTCTAGTTTTTATCATTCCCATTATTAAAAATATTATTTGTTTTTTAAAGGTTACATAAGAACAGCCTTGAGAGACATGAATGCACTGGATGTATTCGTCGACATTATTGGCGTTCCAGAATTTAACGATATTCATGTTTCCGCTCTACATGTCATTGCCAATTTACTAGATGATATTGAATGCGTAAAGGTGTGTTTTACTAGCTAATTTATTATATTATATTGTATTATATTACTATTATTATTAAACTGTATTCAGTTTGAAGTGGTTTGCATTATCCCATTGTTGGTATTTTTGAATGACGTTTGATCTTTCTTGGTTGACAAATGAGCATCTTGGATGGATTATCCTGATCTAGCGATCATGATATAAGTCGATATAGATTAGTCGAATTCGGTAACCATTTAGATAGGTCAATAGTATTTGAAGAGAAAGGTACGAGGTTCGATTCCCGGAATAAAAATTAACTTCGAGATGAGGGTATATTCAGTTGACGAGTACCAAAATAGGATGAAACGTAAGTTTAAGACCCCACTGTTAGCCGCGATCCATCCATTCTATACCAGTTAAATGACTTTTAGTAAGATTTTTGTTTGATTTAGTTAGTCCCACAATAGTTCTAATTAAGAGAATCCGTTTCTAAAACTTCAAAACATACCTATCTTTAAAAGTGGATGAAGGTCGATGATATTTTATCCTAACCGACTATGAAGTTAAAAATCCTCTTACAGAACTAAGAGATAGTTTGTTCAGTAAATTAGTACATCAGATGAATACTCCATGTTTTCATTTGAAAATAGACTCCATATATTGTAAAAATCCCAGTCTTTAACCAACAAAGTTTTAAGTAACACTATGTCGGAAAAGTGATCATACAAGACAAATCTAGTCACTTAAGGTAGGGTGATTTTATCAACATAAAGTGAACCTCAGGTGACCTCACAAATTCAACACATTCTAATGCTGGAAGTCAGTAATGTGAATATAGCTACTAGTATATGTTAACTAGATGACTACTGAATACAGTATTCTGTTCCTCTTCAAAAGTGGATACAGCAGTCTTAATATATCTTAAATAAACTTTTTCATCCTGCCATACCTTTTCAAATATTTAAGTTATTTCTACATCTTTAACGTAACCTTCACTTTTAAATAGTGAACCGTTTATATTACGATTCTTTTGTCTCTGAACTATTAAACCGATAGATTTCATCTGCTAAGAAAAAGCTAAAAGTCAAGATAAAGTTTCTCTAAACATGAGCCAGCTGTACTCTATTTCGAATTTTTCCAATCAGGGGCAATAGCGCCTCCTGTGACTGATAAATGACACCCCACTGGTAACAAACTTTCTACCACTCGTGTATATTCTGAACTAAAAATAATGTCAACAGTTCATTACGTCTACTGATGCATCCATCTAAGCTTCGCCTTGTAACAGCAAAATTTCACTCTCTGAGGTATTTCGCGGGAAAAGTTGGATCGGAAACTATTTCTTACTGCATTCCTGATAATCAGTTGAAGCAGATTACTTCGGTAGGTTTTAAGCAGCCTACAGAAATCCCCAATTTATAAGCAAGGCACTTCACAAAGCCACTGAAAATTTAGATTATCATTTATATACGTTTCCTATTCAAGATTTTTAGTGAAGCAATTGTTATCTGGTAAAAGTGTGTATCGTTTATTCTCTTTTCAAAGCATTTAGTTAGTCAAGGAAGTCTTCAAAAATTATTGCATTTTATCACTGATCGTCAAGTTTATAATGAAAATGATATCAAAGTTAATTCTACAAATCAACAACAAAATAAAGATAAAAATGCTAAAGCAAGGAAACCTAGTCCTAAGAAAGGTGATAAGAAAAAAAGCAGTAAAGGAGAAGTTGATGGTATGTTAAAAATTGGCCTATAAAACTATTTAAAGTAAATAGAAAAGAGGAAGTTTTGACTTTACCGAATCAATTTTTATAAATATTTTTTGTTATAGTTCTTTTATTAAACAGATACCAACAACAACAGATAAATTATCAGTCAGTCATTGTTAGATCACCATTAGAAACCTGGAAGCACTGGACAGCGGTTTTGTCCTGGCATGGGACATTAACACTGTTGGATGCCGGCCCAGTGGTCCGATGGTTAGGCGTTCGCGTACAGTACCGAAGGTCCCGGGTTCGAATCCTGCAAGGTGCAGGAGTCGTGGATGCGCTCTGCTGATGAGTCCCATACCATGACGAAACGGCTGTCCAGTGCTTCCAGGTTGTCTAACAATGATCGATTGATGATTTCAAATGTGTAAAAACATAAATCTCCAAAACTCTAACTGAAAAAAACAGATAAATTCACTAATAGTTCACGAGGTTATAAATACTTTAAGACGTTGGTTCGAAATTGTCTCAGATATTTGGAGCTTTATTAATTCTTATCATAAATCGAGTTGAGCACTGAAATGTTTATTTTTAAAAAAAAGCTGAAATCGCTTTAAAAAAGATATTTCACGCACATACCGCTCAGTACATGTACATTATGCTAGTAACTATAGTTTCTGAATGAATATTTTCCAGTTGGTTTATGTTCATCCGCTTAAAGAGCAGTAAAAAAATATCTGTTCATTCTTACAAAATTCAATAGTGATAATTTGTAGTTGACATATACTTTTTACTCAAGCTTAACATCTTTACCAATAGTTTTAGCGGTAGAGTACCACTATCATTCAAATAATGCGTTAGTTCAATCAGGTTGATAAGTAATTATTACTGTTGAACATAGACTATTTATTTTCTAAGCATAAACTTCTGAAACAAGCGTAAAAAAGGATATTTTTTTTTAGAGGAATATATATGTAGGTAGATAAGTAAATAGATCGACAGAAATCAGGTGTCACATGCATATTAAGCTCTGAATTTTTAATTTCCCCAACTAGGATATTAACCTTTCGTCATCTTATTGAATAATTTTTATAGATGAGGTAGGTAGTTTGGTGAACGTTACTTAATAAATCTACACTAAAAACTTTTTTTCTCATAATGAGCTTCATGAATGAAAGATGGTAATATTTGGCTTTCATACCATGGACACTTTTTCTTCTGTACCTCATAACCGTATATCAGATTCAGAATCAGTAGAATTTCAGACGCTGTAAAAAGTTTTCTTGACATTGCCAAACATACCATATTAATTATCTGCTGAGAAACATGTCCACAATAGACATTACTGTAATGTTCCAAAATTATTAGAACTAATTAATCTTTCTAGTTTTCAGAAGCCTAGTTTGGTAAGATTTTAGTGCATCTTATTATCTTTTTATTAGTCACAGCTAATAGAGGATTGTTATCTACTTATTATATGTAGTTCAAATGTTATCACATGAATTATATATGGTTGAGCGAAGTATAGGATATACAAACATATATAACTAATATTTTATTATTTTATTAGGAAAAAAAGATGAAGAGAAACCACCTTCGAATACTTTACCAGAAGCAAAAATTCACACATGTAACACGATTATGCGAGCTGGTTGTAAAGGTTAGTCAATATCCAAAGGTCATTATTTACTTTGATTATCGATATTACATCCACAACCAATACGTTGCCACAGGGTATTAAAAGAAACATACCTTCGTGTTGATGAAAATGCTGCGGCCATCAACGATGGCCTTTCATTCTACGTGTATTTTTAACAAAAAATGTCGCTTTTTGTGATGCAAAGATAATACTGCATCAGAAAGATCAGAAAACACTATAATAGGGCACATACATTGTTTTCTAGCTATAATGGTTTAATTTCGACGACCGTCTTCTAAACCTTTCTCCTCAATCTCCGACGAATAGCACAAGCTTACAGATGTTATGCGATGTGGTAGGAAACATTTTAATCCATACAAACTATCATATATTGATAATTCATTCTGTCAAAGCATGTTATATACATTTTTAATAGCCGTACATTTTCATTGTGTATCACTTGAATATATTAATAGTAGACATGTTATCAGGCTTCATACTACATGCTGAAGTTTTGTCTGAATTGGCTTAATTACTTATAGAAATGACTGTCTAAAAGATTAATGGGACCTAGTTTATACCGTTTCAGTATCAGCAGTTCAACAGATAACATGTATTTTATAATACTGCATAACTATATGCACTAAGTCCTTAGTGAAGAGGTAAAGTTTAATTTTTGAGCGAAAAAGAATTCAATTTATAGCGTCAAAAACTTGAATGAACTGAGTAAGTAAAAATGTTAGTTAGGTATATTTTGTTTACTTTTTAACATGAAACGTTAAATAAATTAAGATCAATCTCCACTAAATCAATAACCAGCAATAGGTTATAAAAATTATTGGGAACAAAGTTATTAAGTCATAGACTGTCGAAACACTTGGTGGTAACAACTTGGAGATTTGTAAGTGTTGTATGGGTAACTCTACTGTTAAGATGTCGAATTAAGGAACTCGTAAGTACTTTCATATACATTTTATCCCGAGCTATTCTCCATCCTTCTGTATTATTCTCTCATATTTTCATTCTTTATTTATTTGAGTAGATTAACTGCTTTTTCAAATGTTACGATATTATATTGAATTTTGTTTATTCTAAAAAATTAGTTGTATTATGCATTCTAATTGGTTTTGAAATAAATTTGTCTTTTCTTCATAATTTTAGAAGAAACAAGAAAAATCTTACATGATGCAGACGTGGAGAGAATGCTAGTATCATTATTATCTCATGAAGATGAAGGTGTACGAGCTGCATCAGCACAGGCTATTGCTACACTGGCAGAAAGTGCAGTATGTCAAGATAGAATAGCTGAATTAGGTGAATAGAAATATTAAAATATGAATGTTAAATGATAAACAGGTTTACTTATTTTTGCAAACATTAAAAAACATTTATCTACTATGATATAAGCAATTCATAAATCTTTATTTGTAATTAAAGTGGTCAGATGTCTGCCAGTAGGATAGTAGTTTGTCAACTCCAAAGCATGCAGCAGTCTAATGGATAATTGGATCACGGAACTATGCACTAGTTATGAAAGCGAGCGTTTAAAGAGATTAATATGAGCCGACTCAATGATAAATGAAAATAAACTCAGAAAACTGATAAGGAGTTAAGCAATTACTTCCATTGATAATATATTTACATATTCCTGATTAAATTTTTTTTAATCTCTTTGCTAAGCACACAATCTGATAAGTCTTAACTGAAGAATTCTAAGAGAATAACAAGTAGCAAACCAATCAAATAAAATAATAATTAACTGGCATTTTACTGGTGAAATTTACGCATAACTCTAAGGGTAATGGTTACTATGTGAGTAAAAATAGGCCTATTTTTCCTCTTGAAGTGTTGTCATTACGAAAGCCTACAACGAAAAGATTTTCTTGAGTCTAATTATTCAACAAAGATAATTCTTTGTAGATAAAAAGAAACAGAATATTCAAGAAACAAGATGTAAAAGTTAGATGAACAAGTCATCATGAATCGGATGATTAACTACACATCAGTTCATGTTTGGATTTTATACTCATTGGTTTTTAGCTAGTTTTATTTCTAAATTCAATATGACTTACAATGTTCAAAAATTGGCGGTTTTAGTAATCTAATTAGAAAACAAATTCAACTTTTCGTGTCTTTCAAAGATAAATGTATTCATTGACATTTGTATCTTATTCACTCTGTATACCAATAAGTTTTTGAAACGGTACAAAAAATTTGCAGTATATTTATTTGGAGGTGAATTTAAACTACTTAGTATTAAGTACTATATCTTCCTAGAAATAATTCTTCTCGCGAATTCAACTATCGATAGAGAACAACCAAATATAATAATTTCATAATGTTTGAAATCTCTCTATTCTTAATTGTGGTTACAACAAAGTATACGGACCACATTTGATTGTAAGTGAATTAAATACGTAAGTTAGTTTAACTATCAGTCTTATCCCATAATAATTAAAATACGACATCATGTTGACCTAGTAAATTCATTGCCTAGCTTAAACAGTTCGATAGGCAACCATAGTTAGTATATGATCATCGGACAGCTGACTTGGAGCTCGACCACATCTTCGAAGTTGTTAATGACTTTTAATAGTACTGCTTCTATAAACTGAAATACACTTTGTGACGTATACACAATTTTAGTAAGTATTCAAAATATCTAATGAGATATTTATTTTTACAAGGCATACAGTTTCAAAAACAGTTTGGATCTCTCATAACCTGAATTTTGAATACATGGTTGACAATATCAAACTACTTACCTCGACACTGGTCACAGTGATACAAATGTATTCATTTGTTTTTCCCGAGTTTTTAATCTGGTTCAGTAAGGACTGGTTACTTTTAAATATTGACATTATTCTGATTTGAAGGTTAGGAGGATTCCCGAAGCCTACCTGTTCTTTGCTGGAAATTAATGTCACAATCTATCAACCATTTTACAAAAGACTAGAGAATGAATAAGAGGAAATTTAGTTGAGTTACAAAATGATTAAATATTCAATTTATATACTTTAAAATGATAATAATTTTAGGCGGCATAATTATATACTAATTAATTGGATTGATTCATCATTCAAGTAAAGTTAAATCGACTTCATTTATAAACACAGTAATGTCCCCAGGAATTCTGAATAATTTAAGCATTTAACTTTAAATCGCTGGTTCATAATTTATCATCTTCCTTTCATGTAATCTACTTCAAGCAACTGTTGGTATCACTAAACCTTTATATAAATATAAAGGTTGAAGGTTGAGTTCATTAACCTACACTTTGTAAATGAGCCACATTATACAACAGAGTGACTTGTTACCATCAATATCCAGGAGTAGAACTATTAGCCACTATTGATTGTTTACTCTATTTGTTTAGATTGTTAGTGACTGTACGAAAAGTAACCGAATAATTTAAGTTTCTTATATTAAAAATGAACTTGTGATAACTAATGATGCCGGTTCAAATAATTTGACAACCCAACGAATATGGCTTTATTGTTTCAGCGAGTCTGAAGTAAATTTAAAATTGACAAAAAATAAGTTTGAAAGAATCGGAGAATTGAACCATGAGTAGAACTAAACACGTGTGTTACACTCTATTGACAATATAAACCAGGTGACGAATAATGCAACTTTTAGTCACTAATGTTCATCATTATTTTACATGCTTAGGTGGACCGGAATTACTCATACGTATGACGCGGAGCGATCATCGCGAACTTAAATCAGCTGGAGCTACGGCATTGGCTGCTTTGACTACAGGAAATGGATCGATTTGTCGGTAAATTTGTTTTAAATGCATGCTTTTTAAATACTGATTGTATATATTCGATCATATTCTAACCTAAAATTAGTACACACGAGAGTTGTAAATAAATAATGAGAACTTGTTAGAGTTTCACTTTTTTGATGACTTATTTTAAACTTTCTCTCGCCACGTTATATCATATGCAAAAAGTAATGGGTGCTGAGAAGGTGATCAAGCAAATCACAAAACCAAGATTAAAATGTGCTGAGTGTTGGTATAAACTAGTCTCAGACCGTTTTATTAATTAATGATATCATTAATGTAGGAGGAATTTCTAGGAGTAGACATGAGAATGTGTTTTCCCACTAAACATTATGTTTTATATGATATTGACATCCGCTCAATCTTAAATCTTTAACCCTGATGTATTCCCTAATTTTCTTAGCAGTTAGATTTACGGTTTTTGCTTTCTTGCTCACTTTTTTGAGTAGTAGTGAGTAGAAAACGGTGACATCTACACTACGTTTCCTGGAAACTCCTCAACCCTTTCGATTAGTTCACTATGAAAAAATCACACAATCCGTACAAGCATATAAATATAAATGCATATAATTCATGGTATGGATACTGATTTTATTTTCTTTTATAGGGAGGTTGCAAGTCGAAATTCAGGGCTTGAAGCATTGCTTAGTTGTCTACATATAAGTGATCCTGAAGTTGATTTAATTACAGTAGGTGGATTAATGGCACTAACGAATTTGGCGGTTGAAGAAACGACTCGACCAAAAGTGTTACATGCGATAACTGCTAAACTATTTATACCAACTTTAAATTCAAGGTTAGTTTATGGATTTTTATAAACACAAAATATCTTGATTATTAGGACTTTTGTTATGTTAGCTCATATAAAGCCGGACTATTGCTATAGTAATAATCAAGTTGCACTGAAAATACCATAAGAACCTAACGTCTCATTTGGTCGTAAAATATCTATGAAAAACATTTGTCCTGTAAATGTGACAATTAACAGTGAGGAAACTATCAGTTTTTATATGTATGTTCAAATAACCTAAAATTATAGTGATTTATCAAGGATTAATCAGTTTGAATAAAGACTCACGCATACTTATAATGGTTTCTGCTGATTTGTACTGTTGATTTTAAGTCGTAGGCAAACATCTAAAAGCCACGAAATAAAACGAATTCATATTATTCTGCTGCGTCGATTGTTGTTGCCTTGTTCAAGTCTATCAACAAAGAAAATTGTGTGAAAGATTAGTCAGTCAACTATTCTGATAGCTTATTCAGGTCCCATACCAGCATGAATTAAGTATAATATTTTCTACTTAACAGACCAATGATCTTGATGTTGTTATCTCATACATCTACTTTCCTTCAGATGAAAATACTTAGAACGATAGAAGAGTAATCAAAAAAATGAGGAAATTTAATAATAACCCAAAATCTACTGCATCAGTTCATTGTTAATGCGAACTCATGTCGTGTTTATTATTTATTTCAACGGATATATATATATATATATATATATATATATATATATATACATTTTCATTGTGTTATCTAAACCAAGGCTTCTGACAGAACTACTGACTTACACGTAAAACCCTGAAAGCAAAACGAAAGACTTTTTGAAACAGGAGGCTATTATTACAGAAAATATGTAATGTATCGAAAACTTCATTTCACCTCTTGACTTTAACATACCCATAGGTGGTTTGTAGTATTTACAATGAAGCTTATAAACGGTACTCCTTAGAGTGTCGCCCAGGTGTTACGATGAAGCGAAAAGTGTCATATTCGGATTTATGGTGCGATCTTGGTGTTTTAAGGAAGAGAATACATGTGAAAGAAGAAGAAAGCAAAGAATATGTTGGCTCTGCAAACGGATGTTGTCTGACAGGGTGTACGCTTTTTGGCTAGTAGATTGTGTCTTCAAATAGGTTTCTTATCTCATCTTGGCTTCCGTCTTCGTTCATCATACATATATATTCAGGAAAACTAAATTACCTTAAATAGTTATATAGAAATTTTTTTAAAAAACACACACAGGGGTACTGCTTGTATCTAAAATTCCAAGATCTGTGAACTTCATTAGCAACTTAACTGGATGTTACAAGCTCATTTATACGCTTATATGTTCTGCATATAAAAGGTGATGTATCATGTTCTTAAAATGATTAGAAATGATTTTTACTACTACTGCATATTATTAAGTAGCATAATGTGATATACAAAATGTAATTGAATAGGTAAGAAATAACGATCAGGGGCGTCAAACGTACTACCAGATTGTGGAAGCATTATATATTACTTGAGCATGCTTTAACTATAACTGCATGTTGAAAAAAGACTTTCTTTTGAAAGTTTACTGCAAAGCTGGTCCTGATAACTAATGTTCCATTTGGGATGATTACTATTTATATCTAGCCTTCATTGATTTTTAGGTACAATGACTAACAACACAAACACGAAATCAACTGACTTTATTGAAATGATAAAGTTCTAATATCATCGAAAAAACCTCATTTTCCTTTGAAATGTAATTGGTATGAATATGGCTTTGATGGTTTCTCGAGAAATTTCCTTCACATGATTACAATTTTTCAATATTTTTTAGTAGTAACTTCATTATTTTGTTTCTAGCTCACTATTGACTCAATCTAAAGCCTCACTAGCAGTGGCTTCACTAATTTCTGAACCACATACTATCCAACAATTTATTCAACTGGGAGGTTTGTCGAGCTTGCTCAATTTAATTCAGTCAACCAATAATGATGTGCGTCGTGCAGCGTGTTGGGCTATCGCTTCATTGTCTGCGGACCACACAGTTGCTGTGACAATATCACAGTTAAAGTAAGTATGGTCCTATTGCTTTCGTTAGAAATGATCAAGATAACAGGCTACCTTAAAAAACAAAACACTCTTTGCGCACACCTAATTATGAAGTTTTTTTCCAAATAAAGCAAAGTTCTTTGCCAGTCATTATTCAGAGGTAACAGTTCAATAACTTACTGACAGCTATCTAAGACAGACTTCTTCAAACATTAAACTCTTCAAACCGCTCATTTTATTCTTCTATAAATTAACGATAGCTGAACATCGAGCCAAATTTCAGTTTGAGTTTTAACCATATTACTGAGATACTGAGACCAGCATGTTTTGGATGTCAAATTCTTTAACAAGTAAGACATCGCTCCATACATAAAAAAGTGTTTTTTATCATAGTAATATTGACTGAAATAAATAATTATTGTTCGGTAAAAATGTTTACTCATTTTCTTTAGGGAAATAAAGTGATTCGTCCCAGATCAATAATAAAATTAATTACTTTATATTGCCAAACACTCCGTCATATTCTGTAAATCTTGTTATTCTAAGTTATCAAAGGAACTCGATGAGTGAAATTTGATTGATCATTTTAACTTTGTAATTCTTTTTTAGTCCTGAGAATAGTTTGTAATACAACTTTCAAGCGATTGCCAATGCATATACAAATTCACGAATTAAATAAGATGATTATTGTGGTAGTGGTGTTTGGTTCTCTGAACTGAAGCTTGTGCTGATGATGTTGTTCAGAAGAAAAATGAAAGCTAGCTCCACAACCAAAACATCCAGTTCAGAGAACCAAACACCACTACCACAATCATCCACCTGAGCTACAAATCTTCTCCACCATCTCAAGATGATTATTCCCTACTTTATGAAATAAAAATCTTCAGAAAGTTATTTTGGTAGGGTATTTTACAAATACCAAATGTCTTATAGAATTCACAACATAAATCATCATTACTTTAAATGTATAAATTTCATGCTTAAAATCAATTATTCTGAATTACGAATATTCAATCAAGTTCATGATTGTCAATGGTTTAAAATCGTACATTTCATTAGTTAAACTATTTCTTTATTCGA